GAGACACAGTGAAGTTCAGTGATTTACCCAAGGTTACATAGTAAGCAGCAGATCTGGGATTTGGAACCCAGAGCCTATGGCTTAAAAGCTAATGTTCTTTGCACTCTTTCCCAATTTTTTTTTTTAAGCACAAGTAGCCTTTCTTAATGTTAAAATATTTTTCATGCTACAACATTATAGTAATTATGATATTATTCACTGATTTGTTTTTAAATGACAAAAACTGCAACGAATTCAGTAATGTTTTAAAATTAATATGTACTTTAGTTACAACAACATTTTTTTGGTGGTACAGGCTTGTAATTTCATTTGAAAATAGTAATACATCAACATTAGGAAAATGCTCAGCATAAATGACCCATATTAGCAACAAAAAACAAAACAAAAATTGTATGATTATCTCAATAGACGCAGAAACAGCTTTTGACAAAATATAACACCCATTCCTATTTTTAAAAATGCTGGAAAGCATAGGAATAAATGGAGTTTTTCTCAAAATAAATAGTAACTGTCTGAAACCAAGAGCAAATATTTTCTGTAATGTGGATAAACTAGAAGCCTTCTTAATAAGATCAGGGGTGAAGCAAGGATGTCCATTTATCATCATTATTATTCAATACTGTACCAGAAATGCTAACAATAGCAATAAGACAAGAAAAAATAAATTGAAGGAATAAATGGGGGTAATGAGAAAACAAATTTTCTGAATATGATATGATGGTTTACTTAAGAGAATCCTAGAGAGTCAACTTTAAAAACTAGTTGAAACTATTAATACCTTTAGCAAAATTATAGGACACAAAATAAATCCACACAAATTATCTACATTTCTATCTATGTTATACTGATGACAAAACACAGCAGAAAGAGACAGAAAGAGAAATTCCATTTAAAATAAATGCAGACAGTATAAAATATTTGAGAGTCTACCTGCCAAGACACACGAGAACTATATGAACACAATTATAAAACACTTCACACAAATAAAGACAGATCTAAATAAATGAAGAAATATTAATTGCTCACGAATAGGCCAAACCAATACAATAGAAATAACAATGATACCTAAATTCATTTACTTATTCAGTACCCTACTAATCAAACCACCAAAGAATGACTTTATAGAGCTAGAAAAAATAATAACAAAATTCATCTAGAGAAACAAAAGGTCAAGAATATCAAGGGAATCAATGAAAAAAAAAATGCAAAGGAAGGGGTCTAGCAGTACCAGATCTTAAACTATACTAGAGTGGTAATCATCAAAAAAATTTTATATTGTATAAAAAATAGAGTGATTGATCAATGGATTAAATTAGATACACCACATACTGCAGCAAACGAGCACAGTAACCTAGTGTTTAATAAACCAAAGATCCAAGTTTTTAGGGCAACAACTCACGATTTGAGAAACTGCTTGTAAAACTGGAAAGAAGTTAAAAAACAAAAACAAAACTGGAAAGAAGTCTGGCAGAAACCAGGTATAGACAAACATCTCACGTTGTGATACCTAATATATAATACCAAAATAAGTTCAAAATGGGTACATGATTTAGATATAAAAAGTGATATCATAAGCAAATTAGAGGAGCATGGAAGAAATTACCTGTCAGGTCTATAGTAACGGGAAAAATTCATGACCAAACAAGAGATCTCGAGGTCCATGGGAGGCAAAATGGATAATTACATAAAATTTTAAAGTTTTTGCACAAACAAAACCAACCCAGCCAAAATTATAAGGAAAGCAGGAAACTGGAGGGAAATTTTGTAGCAAGTTTCTCTGATAAGGTCTGATTTCTTAAATATGTAGAGAACTGAGCCAAATTTATAGAAATAAGAGCCATTCTCCAATTACTAAATGGTCAAAGGATATGAACAGGCAGTTTTCAGAGGAAGAAATCAAAGAAATCAAAGTTGTCAATAGTCATAATCAAAAATGCTCTAAATCTCTAATTAGAAGAATACAAATTGAAAGAACTCTGACCCGCCCACCTCACAGCCATCAGATTGGCTAAGATCATAGAAAAGGAAAGGACAAATTCTAGATGTGAGGAGAAAAAAGGTACGCTAATGCACTGTTGGTGCAGCTATGAAGCAGTCAACAATTTTGGAGAATAATTTGGAACTATGTCCTAAGGACTACAAAACTGCATACCCTTTGACCCAGCAATACTATTATTAGGTCTATACCCCAAGGAGATCAAACAAAAAGGAAAGGAGCCCCTATGTACAAAAATATTTATAGCAACTTTTTTATGGAGTAAAAGAATTGGTAACTGAAGGGATCCACATTAATTGAGGAATGACTCAACCAACTATGACATAGGACTGTAATAGAATACTACTGTTCTATAAGAAATGATGAAGGAGATGGCTTCAAAATACCTTTGGAAGATTTATATGAACGGATGCAAATAAAGCGAGCAGGACCAGAATGATGTACATAGTAACAGCAACATTATAAAAATTGTGAAACACTTAGTAACTGTCATCAACACAATGAGCCATCAGAATGCCAAAGGACTCATGATGAAAAATGTTATGCACCACAGATAGAGAACTGATGGACTCAGAATTCAGATTAACACTTTTTTTTTTTTTTTACACAGAACAGGGCTAATGTAGAAATGTTTTGTGTAACTTCAGGTATATGATAGGTATCATATTTCTTAGTATCTCCATGGGGAGGTAGGGGGTAGAGGGAGGTAGAGAATCTGTAACTGAAAAAATAAAATGGTAATACATACATGTGTGAAGCTTTTATTATTTATAGAAAGTATATCTCTGAATCACTTGATGATCTAGCTACTGCTGTTTTATAGCTTTCCAAGTCTGGCTGAAATAATGAAAGCCTCAACCTCAGGTTCCATGTCCAGTCTGTTTCTGATTTTATATTTTAGCAACATATGCAGAAAATCCATTCTCACAAACACATGATGTGGGGAAAAAGCATCATGTACTTCCCAGATTTATCAGATTACTCAATTCCAGGAAGTGAATTTGGGCAAAAGAAAAGGTTTCAAAAGGCCAGAAAAAAAGTTTCTCTTCCCCACCCCCCAATTGAGCACAAATGAATCACTGAGAATAAATCTGCTGAGCCAAAAATAGCTGACATGTATTCCACCTTAAGGTTTACAAAGCATTATTACAGAAGTTATCTTATCGGAGCCTTAAAAACAGCCCTGTATGGTGGGTACTGCAGATATTATAATCTAGTTTACACATGAGGAAACTAAGGCATAGAGAAATGAAGTAATTTTCCCATGATCAACCAGCCAGTGTCCCTCCAAGTCTAGCCCTCTCCATGATACTAATCTACCACACAGGGTGGGTGGCATAAATGTCAGATATTTTTGGCTCAGTGAATTTATATTCTCAGTGATTCATTTGTGCCTGATAGGAAAAACAAAAAAAAACACACCAAAAACTTGGTTTTTGGATAGGAAAAATCAAATGACTCAGTCAATATTACCTCCTATAGACAATGAAAACCTTACATATGTATGTATTACTAATTTAATTTTCAGTTACAAATTCTCTCCCTCTACCCATTGAGATGGTAAGAAATATGATATTCTCAGTGATTCGTTTGTGCCTCATAGGCCTTATGGAACCTTTTCTTTTGCCCAGATTCACTTCCTGGAAGTGAGTAATCTGATAAATCTGGGAAGCACTTGATGCCATTTCCCCATATAATGTGCTTTGAACACCAAATGGCATTTTATCATTTAGTCCTATGGGTGATAGAGTACCACTGGAATTAACCCAGGGGTTCTTTACCTTTTTTGTGTCTTGCACACCTTTGGCAGTCTGGTGATACCTATGAACTCCTTCTCAGAATGTTTTTAAAGGCATAAGATTGCAAAGGAAATAAACTATATTGAGTTATCATAATTTTTGTTAAAAAATCAAGTTTACAAACTCAAAGTCAAGAACCCCTGGCTGGTCCTATCCCCTTTATATAAAATAGGGAAACTGAGACCTAGAGGGGACAAGTGACTAATTTTAGGTGAGTCTCAGTGAGTCACTGGGGTTAAGATCCAGCTCTTTCGCCCCAGGTACAAAATGAGCATGATAGTCTGATCTGATACCCTAGGTCCCAGGGCTTTAAGGAAGTAGTGGCAGCGTAGAAAATGGCCTGGATTTGTAGCCATAACTTCACAAACCTAGAACTAGAATGAATGGACCCTCACCCCCTCATTTTATAGATAAGGAGAAAGTTGAGCGACTTGCCAAGGGTCACACAGGCAGTCCAATCAGAGGCTGGGTTGGAATTCGGGTCTTCCTCACTCCAAGTGACCTACTCTTTCCACTGAACCACTTAACAGCTGAACAAGCTGGTGGTTAATCACACTAACAGCCCACGTGTGACCCTGGCAAGTCACAGCTGGGCTGTGGGCATTTTCACGGGCTGTTTCCAATGCCTGTAAATGCTCTGCCTCCTCGTCTCCACTTCCTGGCCTCCTTCAAGTCCTAGCCAAAATTCCATCTTCTAGAAGAATGCCTTTCCCAATCCTTCGTGATGCTAGTGCATCGCTCTGGGATCACCTGTCGTTTACCCCGTCTATACTTTGTCGTTGCTTGCATGTTGTCTCCCCCTTTAGACCGTGAGCTCCGTGAGGGCAGGAGACTGTCTTTTGCCTTTCTTTATGCCTCCAGTGCTTAGCATGGCCCTGGCATGTAGTAGCCATTTAATAAATGCCAACTGCCTGACTTCTCTGTGGACCTCAAATCTCCTCATTTGTAAAATGAGTTTAAACTCACGCGCGCGCGCGCCCCCCCTTCCCTCCCCCACCCCAAGACCGGTTGGGAGAGCTGGAACGATTGTGTCCATAACTACAAGATCCCGCCTGTGACATAGACGAAATAAAGCGGGAGTGAGTAGGCCTGGGTCTTCTGTGCCGCAGAGGGAAATGATCTCCCCGGGGCACCCCAGCCGCCCTGGGCGCTACCAAGCGCCCCCTACCTCTCCCCTACCCGAGAGAGCCTTACAGACCACTCACAGAAGGAACTGACGACAAAACCCCGCCTCAATCCGCCCAACCCAGAAGGTGGTCCACCATCCAAGCTTCTGATTGGCTCCTTGCCCGCTCTCTTGCTCCCAAAGGTTGCCGGGAAATGGAATTCTCTGGTGGTTGAAGGCAGAAGCGGCAGGGGTAAACGACTCGAGAGTGATCAACCACTTGTTATTGGCCAATGGGCGGTGACGTTCGAAAGAGCCTAGCCTATCCAAAGATTCCTCACTTTTCTAGGACAGCAGTTGAGAGGGGAGTGGGATGGGGGAGTTGCTTTGCATGCTGGGAAGCATAGTTTAGTCAAGATCACCCACCCCAGCCCCGCAACCGCCACAGGCTCGTTGGTAAGAACTACAATTCCCACATAGCCCTTCTCCCTCCTGGTTCGTTCGAGTAGGGCCCCCCCCCGCTTCCTCCTAACACTTCCCGGATTCTTATACTGCGTGGCTGCCGTCTCTAACGGAGAACTTCATTTCCCAGGGGCCCTCGCGCGCAGCGAGCCCCCCCCAGGCTCCTCCCGGCCGCCGGGCGCCATTTTGTTCTGCCTACGGCAGGCCTAAGATGGCGGCGGGGGAGAGAGTGAAGGTTGCTGGGCTCTAGTCCGCCGATTTCGGCTCGGCTCGACTCGGCTCGGCTCGGCCCTGCCCCGGCCCCGCGCGGCCGATGGGTGGGGAGCGGCGCGCGCCATGGATCTGCGCACGGCCGTGTACAACGCGGCGCGCGATGGCAAACTGCAGCTGCTGCAGAAGCTGCTAAGCGGCCGCAGCCGGGAAGAGCTGGACGAGCTGACCGGCGAGCCGGTGGCCGGGGCGGCTGGGGGCCCGGCCGCCGGGGGCACGCCGCTGCTCATCGCTGCCCGCTACGGCCACCTGGATGTGGTGGAATACCTGGTGGACCGCTGCGGCGCCAGCGTGGAGGCGGGCGGCTCGGTGCACTTCGACGGCGAGACCATCGAGGGCGCGCCGCCGCTGTGGGCCGCCTCGGCTGCCGGGCACCTGGGCGTGGTGCAGAGCCTGCTGCGGCGCGGCGCTTCGGTGAACCGCACCACGCGCACCAACTCCACACCGCTGCGCGCAGCCTGCTTTGACGGGCACCTGGACGTGGTGCGCTACCTGGTGGGCGAGCACCAGGCCGACCTGGAGGTGGCCAACAGGCACGGGCATACGTGCCTCATGATCTCCTGCTACAAGGGCCACTGCGAGATCGCGCGCTACCTGCTGGAGCAGGGCGCGCAGGTGAACCGGCGCAGCGCCAAGGGCAACACGGCCCTGCACGACTGTGCCGAGTCCGGAAGCCTGGAAATCCTGCAGCTGCTTCTGGGCTGCAAGGCGCGCATGGAGCGGGATGGCTACGGCATGACCCCGCTGCTGGCCGCCAGCGTCACCGGCCACACCAACATCGTGGAATACCTCATCCAGGAGCAGCCGACCCCCGAGCTCCAAGTGCAACCAAAGCTTCAGCAGCAGCAGCATGAGGAGGAAGCCGCCGTGCCCAGCACCAGCCGGGGGGCAGAGGACGCCCAATCCCCAGAGCCCTATGAGAGCTGCTGCCCCACTAGCCGAGAAGCCGCTGTGGAAGCCTTGGAGTTACTGGGGGCCACATTCGTGGACAAAAAGAGGGATCTACTGGGCGCTCTCAAGTATTGGAGGAGGGCCATGGAGCTACGGCACCAGGGTGGGGAGTATCTGCCCAAACCCGAGCCTCAACAGCTAGTCCTGGCCTATGATTATTCCAAGGAAGTGAATACCTCGGAAGAACTGGAAGCCCTCATTACCGACCCTGATGAGATGAGGATGCAGGCTTTGTTGATCCGGGAGCGCATCCTGGGACCCTCACATCCAGACACTTCCTACTACATTCGCTACAGAGGGGCAGTGTATGCAGACTCGGGCAACTTTGAAAGGTGCATCCACTTGTGGAAGTACGCCCTCGACATGCAACAGAGCAACCTGGAACCCCTGAGCCCCATGACAGCTAGCAGCTTCCTCTCTTTTGCAGAACTCTTCTCCTATGTGCTGCAGGACCGAACCACCAAGGGCAGCCTGGGTACCCAGATTGGCTTCGCTGACCTCATGGGTGTGCTCAGTAAAGGAGTTCGAGAAGTAGAGAGGGCCCTGCAGCACCCCAAAGACCCTGGTGACTCTTCACAGTTCACCAAAGCCCTAGCTATCATTCTCCACCTAATCTACCTTCTAGAAAAAGTGGAGTGTACCCCAGAACAAGAACACCTCAAACGGCAGACTGTCTACAGGCTTCTCAAATGCAGTCCACGGGGCAAGAATGGTTTCACCCCTTTGCATATGGCTGTGGACAAGGACACAACTGCTGTGGGCCGCTACCCAGTGGGCAAGTTCCCTTCTCTGCATGTGGTGAATGTGTTATTAGAATGTGGGGCCGATCCAGACAGCAGGGACTTTGACAACAACACCCCATTGCACATAGCTGCCCAAAACAACTGCCCCCTGATCATGAGTGCCCTGATGGAGGCTGGTGCCCACATGGATGCGACTAATGCCTTCAAGAAAACTGCCTACGAGCTGCTGGATGAAAAGCTGCTCAGCAAGAGTACCATGCAGCCCTTCAACTACATTACCCTCCAGTGCCTTGCAGCCCGTGCCCTAGACAAGCACAAGGTCCCGTACAAGGGTTTCATCCCCGAAGAGCTGGAGGCTTTCATTGAACTGCACTGAAATGGGGTGGAAGGGGGAGTGGGGTACCCCTCACCATCCCTCCTTGCTCAGTCATCCTCAGAGGAGAGGGAGCTACCAGGGCTTTGTAGCACCTTATATTTCCCACCTTCCCAGATGGTGTGGGATGGCTTCTGGTAAAATGTGCCACAGGGGCAGGGTCTAGAGCTTCCATATTCCCCATTGACTTCTCCTTTGAGTGAAAAATCTAGAGTTGGTACACCATAAAGGCCTTCAGGGAAGTGCACCAGGAGAGCTACCTTCCCTCAATCAATTCACTTATTGTTTGAAGGGAGAAAGATGTGCAAGTTCTTTTGTGATTTCTGTCTTTTCCTGTCCTCCCATGTATAAGGAGGCTTTCATTGGCCTTACCCTAGGGGCAAAGAGATGGAAGCCATTGCCTTCCTCACCTATTGGAATGGGAGATAGAAGCAGAAGGTGGTGTACTCCGCTCTTTCCCCTTGGATGCCCGATGAACTCAGCTGTCAGAGCTCTTGAGTAGCCATCCCCTGACTGATGGGTCACAGCAGCGCAATTTTGCAATTCAAGACGCAAGGCAGTTTCTCTCTTCCAGTTTGTCCCCAACGACTCTGTGTTGTCCTAGTTACCATGGAGTGGGAGTCAGCTGGAGCCCAGTAGAACTGGCCACCACGTAACACAGCTTTCAGTTGGTTTGGTTTTTATTTTTCTGGTGGCCAGGTCACAAGTGTTGTGCAGAAGTCCTAAGATTTTGCTGCCTGTTTGTGAAGCTGGATTTCTGTGCTTCCTCCTACCCCCACTGACAGATCCCTTTAGTTTAAAGCAGTATTTGTTTTGCAGTCCCTGGAACAGGCAATGCAGGCCAAAATGGTATGTGAAGACTTGTGTGTTTTTTACATTTGAGATGGAAGTTTGTGGCTTCAGTCCATAGAGCTCTATAGACAGTTCCATTTTTAAAACCTCATTCTACCCTTTGCACATGGGCCTCCCAATTTCTCCACTTTCAGTAAGAGAGGCCCTAACTCTTGCTTAGAAACCATGAACCAGCACCATTTCAAGGAGCTGTGCTCAACACCAGTTCTCTGATACAGAAATAGCTGCCAAAGCTTCATTTCCACGTTAAAGCCAGAGAAAGTTTCCTACACAGTGTCACAGTCTTCATGTCCATTTTGTCATTTAATTGATAGACTCCATGAGTTGGGGGCTGCAATTGTGTTTAAAGCCATCTTCCAGAGCTGATTCTGCAAGCAAGGTCCCATGTAGGGCAATAGTTTCATAAAGTAAATGCAGTTAGAATGTGGATATTAAGTCATCAGTGACAGGCTTTAAACTCGAGTTTGCAGAAAGCTCTGTTTCCCGTAGCCCAGTGTTAAGTGCTGGCCAAGAGCAGGTTGTCTTGGAAAATGTGCTGTGATGGGTTTTTTTTTTCCTCAGGAGAAATGACTGATTACAGATGCTTTGGCAGGCAGCAAGGAGATTTTTGGCCTGTCCAGAGTGAAAGTCTAGTGGAAAAGGTTAAACAGCTGTCCCCCATCATTTTTGGAGAAAGGTCAGGCTCAGGAGAATCAAGTTTTGACACTAATCCACTGTACTGCTTATGCTAAAAATTGCCATTAGATTAGTGTTTGCAGGCAACCAAAGACCAGGATGCTGATAATCTGATGCCCTGCCCGTTTAAGGAAACCAGGTCTGTCATTTAGTTTTGCAGTGATAAACTATAAATTGATTTATTTATAAGACAGCTTAACTTCTATCAAGGTGGAAAATGCAGTTAATGTTCTCACTGGAATGCAGAATAAACTAAAAAAAATAAGCTTGTTTAATGTGTGAGCCTAAGCTCCTATATTTAAGTAATTAAAAAGAAAAGGCAGTAGACTGACTTGCCTGGGAATTCCTTGGTGATTGCTGGTTTGTGTGGCAAGGGGGGCTGTTGGGGTATGCGAGTGGGTTGGATAGGGGAGGAGGCCTCTGCCCGTTCTAGCTCAGCCTTGGATTCCAGGACTATAAGACCCCTCCTGGACTCCGAGGTGGTACGTACTATATAATAACTGGACAGGAGGTCTGGTTATGAAAAGATTTCTTTTGTCCACTTGGAATTTCTTTGTAATCCATTGGCTAATGTAGTCTTAAGGCTTTGAAGAACCTCAGAAAGTTAGCAGACTTAACCCAACCCTCCCCCACCACACACACACTTTGGGTAAAATTGTCCAGCAAATTAGCACATGCTCCAACTTTTAAACCACGGGCTGAAGCAAGATAGGAAGGTTAGCTCCAATCAAAAACAACTTAGGGAAGTGTTTGTCCGGGCTTCTGAAAGGGATGGGCATAATATCTTTGGACTACTGAATTTAACGTACTGGATCTACAATTCTTCGATGTTGACTTCTGTCCCAAAAGAAAAGGCATCTGGCATGTGTATGGATCTCAGGGGAAAAAAACGTCCTTTTTGATGAACTCTAAAGTGAAGCCTGTCTAATGACTATTCCAGGAACACTGTCTTTCTGGAAAGGATGCAAGCTGGGGGACAAAGTAAACACTTTCCCCACTTCATGCCTTTTCACCAGCTTAAGTTGCAGCCTTAAACCTGTTGATTTATCCTATTTTTGAATAGATTGATGCAGTAGATTTTTTTTAATAAATTAGCCCTTCTGCAAGTTTGATTTAATTCCAAAAATCAGATCCTAGCCCCTCTATAGTCACTAATGTCCACAACCCTTCTCACTGTGATAAGAAGCCATAAGATGGTGAGGATACATGGCCCAGTACCCAGATATTAAGATGGGGTTCTGCTGTAGCACTTAGCACTATGAGTGTAACTGAGCCAACACTGCTACTGTGTAAATTCCATGCTGCCATATATGTCCTGTTCCTTGAAAGAATATACAGTAGTAACCTAATGTATACCACTTTGACTACAAAAGAAAAAAAGAGGTTGCTTATATTGAGATTTCTCCAGACAAAACATTTTTCAGAAGAAAAAAAAAGACCTAATTAACCTAGAATGCTATGCTTCACCAACCTAGTGGTTACAACTGCTCCTGACTGGTTAACAGCCTTCCTTTGCATGTCTTCCCAACCCCTCAAAGTCCAGATTGGCTGGAGAAAAGAGCAGATATTGGATGGATTTCTTTTTCCCACTCCACGTGCTGTCTCACTGAATTGATGGCATGAATTATCTCAGGGACCCAAGTACTGGGACAAAAAAGACCCTCGAGATTTTGTTGAAGTTCGAGCCCTGAAGGGTTTCACTTGTGTTGTTTTCCTCACCTGTAAAATGAAGATACTATCCTACCTCACAGGGATGTTGTGTGGCATTCAAGATTGTAAAGTGCTTTTGACTTAAAAAAAAAAAAAACAAAATCTTATTTGATGCTAAGTACTTTTATTTCTCAAGAAGTAACCTTCAAAAAGTTATGTGTACATTTTTTTTAAGAGTGTGCATTAAACAAGTATGGAATATGCCATATGCCTTGGTAGCATATGATGCCAAGGCTGAAAGGGTGGGAATTCTTTAGGGTCCCAGAGTAACAGCAGAATGACTCAGTGGATATACTTTTATGTTTGTGTCAGTATGAAATTCAAAAAGCATGAAATAGAAACAGTCCGAGCCCCATCCATGCTGCAAGAGTGCTCTGTGAGCTGTTAGAAAGCACAGCAAATTACCAAACTACAGATTGGGTTACACAGGGAATCAAGTCATGTGTAAAGGGACATGTCTTAATATCTCTGGCTAGAACATGAAGTACTGACAACAGCCCAGAGACATCCGACATGAGAAAAAATATGACTTGGAAACATTGAAAAACAGTTCCTGAGGAATGTTAATTAAGGGCATGTAAAGTTGACCTGAAATCAACCTTAAGTGATGTGAGACTAGGAAGGAAGCTTTGTATTTTGTTCTGTGGTATTTGTGTGTGTGTGAGTGTATTTGTCTGTGGTCTGACTACAAGAAATAATCTAAATCAGTAAGACAAGGTTGTCCTTTGTCTCATTACTTCAAATTCAGATTTTAAATTTAAGAAACAGTGCAAGGTAGAGTTTTTACGATATAGTGGGGAAAAGATATGTCCACAAGTAACTGAGGTAAAGAGAATGACAAGAAGGCCCAGGCAGAGATCTATGAGAAATGGGAGGATGGAGCCTCACATTTAGTTGGAAGGATGAGAATGGTGAGAGCTTGAGGGAAAGTTTGGAACCTGAGACAGAGAGGAAGATGAGAATTTTGGAAGACAAATATAAGAATGGTTTCTGGAAATGAGGTATGGCTCATGCCAGTATGTGGTTCTACTCAGGTTGTCTGGGGTTTTACCAATCTTTTCCTCCCAATGATGATCTTTAAACATACTGATGGGGGTAAGGAGAAGGGGAGGGAGAGCCCCTCAGATTTTCCCTTCCTCACAACTGACATCTTTTCACATTTTGTTTACGTATGATGCTAGTAGTTAAGCATAAATGTTGGGCATACTGTTTTGATAAGATAGGCATGATGATAGCTATCATCAACTCATCAATAAAGAGACAACTGTTACCAGCTTTTTTCAGTTCTACCACCCTCATGAACATAATAACAAAGAACTTCTAGTTGTTTGAATTGAGGGAAGTCTGTAGAATAAACTATGCTTTCATCATTTGGCTTGGGTTAGTAGAAGAGTGGTCCCCAACAGGTCACGGACTGATAAGGTAGCTATTATGAACAGCCAGTTTTTATGATTCTAAATCGACTCCTCTAGAAAAGGGAAACCACCCCTTTTTGATCTTGCACATGCTTGGAGCACTAACCTAGCAGAACTTAGAAGGAAACAGAAAAAATACTGTTTTGCCCTCAGGGAACAAGCTAAGGAGGATGCTTGCATCCCAGCAAGAAAATAAATGACTAGAAACAAATGACCTGACTGGGTGAGTAGTCCTAGATGGGGCTTCAGTTCAAGGGCCTCCCTCAGAACTTTGCTCCATCTCCTCCTTGTTGACCACAAGAGCAGCGGCCTTCAGCTAAGCTGCAAGCAGGGCCTCTCTTGTCTTCTGGAAGATGAAGTAGTAGGCAACGTTGTCTCTACTTCAACTTTTCACTGGGTAGAGGTACACTGGGCTACTCTTCTGGCAGACAGGAGAGTGACCACTAGTTTTTTCATTTTCTTACACCCCACCCCCCTTGGAAATCTGTTTGGCCTCATGTCGAGGTTGACCCTCCTGGCCTAGGACAAGGATGAATTGTTAATCTGTCATTCTCTTTCCAGAAAAAAAAAATTGTATATCTTTTATTTTTTAGGATTGTTAAGGATGTTCTGTTTTCATTATATAAGAGTCTCTTCAACTTCCTAACGTTAACTCATCAGTATGCATGTGGTATCCTCCTAGTATGAGCTCCTAGAGCAGGGATGGGTCCCTGGGTGTGGCCTTTTGGCTGGGTGCAGGTTTTACAGAACAAATCCTTTTGTTAAGTGGATTTGTTCTGTGAAGTTTGGATTCAGTGCTTACCCCCAACCCCCCCCCCCCACACACACATTTCAGTACCTGGAGGGCTACGTGTGGCCTGGGGGGCACAGGTTCCCCACCTCTGTTCTAAAGGGGAGACAGTGCTGTGTTAATTGGGGTATTGGGTTTTTTTGTTTTGTTTTTATATTCCCGGAGCCTAACAGTTCATTACACATAGAAGGCATGTTTGTGAATTTGAATTAAAAAAGCAGTCAGCCACCAAAAAAAAGAAAAAAAAATGTTGGGCATAGTCAGTTCAGCTTAAGGCTTATTAAAAGCATGCTAGATACAGGTTGGGCGATGTAAAGACTGTCATTGGCAGAGCATTGGACTTGGAGTCAGATGATCTATTCTTGTGATTTGGGGTAAGTCAGGCCTTTCCTCTGAGCCTCTGTTTCCTCGTCTGTAAAATGGGGCTTGCACTGCATGTCTTTGCAGGTTTGTATGGGGAGTATGATTTGTAAACCATAAAGTGCGTGACCAATTCAAGTTACTCTGAAAACAAGACATGGCTTCTACCCTCAAGGAGCTCATAATCCTCTCTGGTGGCAGGAATGAGACAAGAAGTGAGACTGATAAGACAAGTACATAGAAGTTGGGACAGAATGGCAGTGAGAGCTCAAAAGAAGGATGAACCCTTCTGGCTGCCTAGATCAGGCAGGATACTCCATAGAGGAGGCAGCATTCAAGTGAGGACTTGAAGAATGGGTAAGGTCTTTACCCTAGTGAGTGGTCGTGGGAAGTAAGGGCAGTCCAGGCATTGAGTCTGATGGAAACGTGGTGAGGAGGTAACCTGGTTCCATTAGAAGATGGCATATCTGGAAGAGAGATAAGAGGGAGGAAGTCACTAGAAAACAGGACCTTAAATGCCTGGCTGAGGAGCTGGGGCAAATAGTACTACACTTTTTGGTTTTTCAAAGTAGTCCCTTTTTCTTCAATCTTTTAGCCATCTTATTGCCCATCCCCACCTTAGTTCTTGTACCTTTTTAATCTCCCTTCTGAATGGTGAGTCTCCCAGGACAACTCTTCTTACTCCAGTGACAAGACCTTATCTGCAGTGTTATATCCCCTAAGTTACTGTAAGCTATATGAGATGTTGTCTTTGTGTATGTGTACATGCACACACATGCACATTTGCTCATTCTTCTAATCATATTTTACAACTTTGGACTTTATGCTAAGGCCAAGGTTGGAGGGTCAGAATCACACAGATGTTGCTTGCTTCTGCTTTCTCATTCAGTATGCAGTCAAGGGCCTCCCAACATCTTTTTGTTATGACCACCTTGACAGGGGTCATGTGACTGAGCCGCTCCTCAGTCTACACTGGATCTATGACTCAAAACTGAGTAGTGAGAAACAGAGCTACCTGTTGCTTCCTGTTCCCTGCACATGGTGAGGTCCCTCTTTTCCAAGTCTGGGACCTCTTCTTGTCTTGGTGCACTGTGTCCGCACCACATTCAGTCCCTATGCTAGCTCTTGCTAGATCCCATCCTCAGTATTCACAGATTTGTTGTTGTTGTTGTTGTTCTGTCTCCCTAGGCTAACCGAAGCTAGAAAAGTGACTCGCTGACTTTTTCTTGGATTTCTCCATTAGGATTCAGTCTGGTACATTTTCAATATCCCTTTGTGGGATAGTTGTGGACAGGGAGAGTCTGACTCTATTTTTTTTTTACATGAAAATTTTTTACTATGACAAAGACATCATATAATTTTTATGATCCTGGTCTTTTCTTCTTGCTCCGTACAAGTCCAGAAGAGAAACATTTGCAACTTTTACAACCTTGAATCAGACTCTAGGAATATCACCAACAGCATGACCTTTTCGACCAAATCCAGCAACCAAAACTTCATCATTTTCCTCAATAAAGTTCAAACAACCATCGTTGGGAACAAAGGCAGTGATTTTTTTGTCATTCTTAATCAGCTGGACTCTCACACGCTTCCTGATGGCAGAATTGGGCTGCTTGGCTTCCACCCAAGACAATCCCTTTTGTGTGAGATGCTCCTCCACATGGGCTGGCCTTCCAGGGAGTGCCCAAATGAGCTTTCTTATATTGTTTGGCATGCCACTTTTGGTCTCTCCTGTGGCTTTGGAGCTTTCCAGCGGTACGAAGACCATGGCACTTACCCGTGCTGCCACCATCTGGGCCAAGAGGAAAGAGAGGAGGAGGGAAGGAAGTGCACACCCTCCTGGCTCTGCTTCTTCCTGATCTCCACCATCTTGGCCGATCCTTCTGTCCACAGAGTTCAGGCTGCCGTAGCAAACAAACACTATCTGTATACTTCAAAGATGCCTGTACCCTCTATTATCGAGAGCCTTTGTGGGAGTACTGTCATGACTGTAGCACATGGACTTAGATAAACACAAGAAGGTGGCATCTTGGGAAGCTCCAGGAGAGAGGACATTCCCACATGATGACTTATCCCTACCTTAAAATCACAGAATTAACAGAGTTAAAAAGAAGTT